CGAGGAAGCTCAAAATCCCAGTCCTGGTCCCCTCTTGCCACGCAGCATTGTGGCAACTTACTTATTCAACTCGTTATTTAGACTAGTCTCATCCACCCTGTTGACCGACATAGGACACTAAACACAGGATTGTCTGGAGGAAATCACACGCTGAATGTATCGGCACACAACCTGCTTTAACCGAACGGAGCGCTGTGATTACAAGGAATTTCTTACGATGCTACAAAAAGGTTGCTGAGAGATTCTACCAGGAACAGGAATGTGACCTTTTTGACATTTGACCTTAAAAAAAAAGAGATAAACCGGATGGTATGTCACTGAATAAACTCCCCTTCCATCAATTTTAAGGGACCTTCAACCTGATGGCAAAAATCTGGACGAAGGGGAGGGGGATATAGCAAAATAAACTTGTGCACGCTCAATTGGCTGATTCTAAAGAATGCTCAAAATGTAAGATTTACTTTCTGCAGTTGTAATAAGTGCTGCCTCTTTCTCTGAAACACAAGGTCAACCAAGGTCAACCCGTGCAACAGTTCACTGCCCTCTAACAGTCTTGCTAATATTGATTCTGCTCCTGCTGAGATATTTTTCTCATGCCGGTTAACAGCGTTGTGGTTTGTTTTTAATACATCACGTATTAACACACAAGTCCTGGCCTGCCAGTTTCTTGTTGCTAAAAAGAGTGTCGCCATCTTGAAGAGTCTCATGAGCTTGTATGAACTCATTTTCATAGTTTCCCATGTAATCACCCCCCCACCTCCTCCCTCCAAGCCGCTCCCTGCTCTCCAAAACCTGGCTTGATAATGAGGAGGGGCCTCCGCTGTTCGTGTTTCCATGGCGACATGGCAGTCCACTGTGAACTTTGGAGCACAGCGCACGAACACAGCACCGATTGTGTGTGACCTTAGAGCGCGGCGCGCTCGCCCAAACCTTTTGACTTTACGTGGCTGTTAGTGGAGCGCGCCGACTACAGAGCGTGAATTCAGAGGAGCGTTGTTGGAAAACAGGATTTGCTACAGTTGTGCAACAGTCACAGTTGTTCAGGGGAGAGATATTTCTGTTCATGAAGCTTTCTTGGGGGATTATGCATATGAAGCAGTTAAAAAGGTGCAGATGTTGAGGTTCGAGGAGGAGCTCGGTCAGCTGTCGGTAAACTGAAACATGGAACAGATTAATCAAAGCATGGGAGTGAATCGATGCTCCTCATCACATGTTACATTCGCCAAATGTGAGTTTACGCAGCATAAAACCTCAAAAATGCCAAAGGAGTACATCTTCCCAAAGCGATTTTAAGTATGTGGTGATTGTTCGGTCTTTGAAAGTGAAATAATAAAGAAAAGAGAAGACTATAAAGACATGGAAACTCCATAAACCACTTCGATATGGCTGGGATGCAACATGTTGTCGTCTCAGCAACACGCAGCGATTCTCTACCAGAGTGGTCGTCCTCCCTAGTGTCTCTGTGTGTGTCTGTGTGTGGGTGGGTCGGAGTGTGTGTGTTTAACGATGGTAGGTTCCCACCCATTCTCATGGTAATTGGAGGCCTGGAATGGAGTTTCTGCAGCGGGACACGCAGTCCTCTACGAGGCTCAGGAGCTGAACTTCAGATTGACAATGGACTATCGTAGAATGGGTGGCGTTGTTTGAACCTGTGTGTGTGTGTGTGTGTGTGTGTGTCGGGGGGGGGGTGCTTGATTCAGAAGTGGTTTGAACAAAATTCCAAGTAGCAGGTGCGTGATGCTTCATCGTCTTCTCTCTCCTCGTTCTTGCTCTCTTTTTATCCGTGTACAGGGCATCATAGCATTGGAGAGAGCAAAGATTTCAGGGGGATTAATGAATTAGAAATACATTGATATGGGACGATGCAGTTCAATTTGTAATCATTAATATGCTCTTTCTGATTTAAGAAGAAATGCTGATTTATCTAAAAATCTAACCAACTCCAGGTGGACATTGTAGAGCTTCATGTTTTTCTAAATGCGATTAATTTAAATTCAAATATTACTGTTGATTAATTAACGACAAGTAAAACTTTTCATGTTGGTTTTTGGTCAAACAGTTATCAGGAAAATAGTCAAGGCACATTAACCATAAGTAAAGTCTGACTGTGATAGCAAACACTTGGGTCTCTATAGTAATGTCTGGTCGACCTTGAAGCAGGCGTCCTGATGGAGCTGATATCCACCGTTGTGTTTTGTAAACCCTTGGTGACGTGTGCTGATGTGTCAGCTGTGCCTGTGCACGTAGGAGGTGTGGCATACTGATTTATCGCTTATTAAGTAGGCTCCCTTTCAGACTTTCACGATTCCGGGCTGCGCTGTATTCTGATCTAAATGCCCTTGACGGTGTAAGAAAGAACAATATTTTGTTGAGTAGAGAGTCACATCAACAGTTATAATGGACTTAATTATCAGTTTTAATCCCCTGTTTGACCCATAATATATGCCAAGACACACCTTTTGTTTTATCGTTCCAAACTCTCTGACATGTTTAACCAGGTCGCCACTCACTCATCAATCCTCGTGCAGACACCTCTTTAGCCCTCGTCTGACACATATTGATCCTGCAGAACATGCACGACCCAGATCTAATGCAGGGTTTAAAGCTCCAGCAAGTTCGCTGACCATTGTTTTCAGCTGCCGGTTGTAGTTTGCGCTGACTGATTAATCACACACCTGTGACCTGAGTCAGAGAGACCAATCAGCTGCCAATGCTTCATTGGAAGTAACCGTGGGTGTAGCTGGTTACCCCAGACTGAGTGACACAGTTGCAGATCCAGTCCCACAGTTTTATTTTACCTCATCTTACGCCCAGCTGCAAGTGCGTCGTTGCCTAATTCATGTAATGCATTTCTCTCAAATTCAGCAGTCCAGTAAAGAGTATATTGGAATAAATTCTCAATCACTAACTAATGAATCGTTGTTTGCTGCGGTCACAACACATTTGAAATGAATGAGATGTATTGTACTTCCAACCCTTTGTTGTTTGTGTGTGTGTGTGTGTGTGTGTGTGTGTGTGTGTGTGTGTGTGTTTATGCAAACGAGATGCCTGTACTCTCTTTACAATACTTCACAGAACAAAGAAAAATTGAATTTCATAGAAGTGGGTTAAATTCTCATGCTTTTTGCTAGGTTGGTTATGATTGAGCCATGTGAAGTGGAGCACATGATGTAGTTGTGTGTTTGTGTGTACGTGGAGGATCAAACATGGGAATGAGCCGATTGATTCCAATTAAACTCAAGAGTCTTTTGTTTTCAGCCTCTCTTTGTTTTCAGTTGCTGCTGTATGACCTTAAAAACCCATTAGCGAGCTGCTCTCTCCCCGGTGGGGGGGGAAATGCTGGGGTGTTTGTAGCTGGCCGAGCAGCAGTGACGGATGCTGCAGGGAGAGGTGGTGCAAGCGGTCAGGAAAAGCTCCTTTCGAGTCGAGCTTTAGCCAAGTCACGTGAAGAAAGAGAGATGAGGTCAGGGTGGCGGGGGGGTGTTAGGGGAGACAAAAGGCAGGTGGCCCGAGGATCAGACAAACACTCGGGTCATAAAATCTAAATCTTTTTGCAATGTAATTGTATCAGGATGTAAAAAGCTCCGCAAATACATTTGACAAGGTTTTATGTTTGCTGATGAGAAATAGTCAGTTTGGTTCATAATATTTAAAATAACAGCATTTATGTCATTCAAACTAAAGTGTGATGGTGCAACAGGCGGCGTGTGTGTGTGAGAGTGTGTGTGTGTGTGTGAGTGTATTTTCACGTGCACGGGGGTAACGAGGGTAAGCAGAGTTAACTTCATTAGCCCCCGACAGCATCTGTTCAAGGAGCCTGTGTGACGTCACCCGGGTCGGTAAACGCAGCGCAGCGCATGCTGCTTCCTCTGAAGTTATTAGAGAGCGACAGCGGTGTCTTTTCATTCGTGGTCATCCATCGCAATGCATCAGACTTCTAGCGCAAGTGTGTCCGCTGCTTCACTCGCAGGATTGAACAGCCAATGATCTATATTTGGTCAGGAGACATTAACATTGTGTTTGTCCGCCTCATGGCGCTTTATGACCACCGTTTCATCCCGATGAAGTTGTAAATCATAGAAAGGAACGAGCCATTAATTGATATTCTCACAAGCTTAAAAGGGTAAATTATATTCCTAAACTGCAGACAGCAAAGTGGTGGTGTGTTTGGGTATTGACTTAAAATGAATCACAGTGACCTTGTTCATGGTACTAAAGGATCGTGTCAGCAACTCCAACAGTGTGGCTGAATTAATTTGATTCGATTTTTTTTAGATGTAAATAAACTCAGAGTTACGACACACAAACAATTCAGTTTCCTTTTAATGATCGTTGTTGACGATAAGAAAAACATAGTGAATCTCCTTTTTATCCTGAGAGGGGCAATATCTCACTACGTAATGAAATCAATTCCGAGGGCGGATGTGGGGATTTGTTTGAAGAGTTATACAGCATGTAGCATCCCTCTACAGTACTGTTATCTCTGTCTCTCAGTCTGCCTCTAACTGCCCCCAGAGAGCCTGTACGTCTGGGGCTGCTGTCACAGGCCATTGTGCCACACACAAAGAGCCCGAGTCCACTCCAGTTTTGGGTCCATTGATAAAGACCGATGGTGCGTGAACCGGGCTCTCCCTCTAGTCCCAGGCGCCCCCCCCCCAACAGATCAGCCCTCTGGGATTGAGAGCAGAGACATTGATCCAAAGCCAGTCAGACAAGAGGAGGACCAAAGGGTGGGCGGGCGGGAGTATGTTTGGAAACAATGAATGGAGACATGAGCTGGGAATGTTTTTTTTATTTTTTATTTCCCTTTTTTAGAGTTTGTCATCTTTAGAAAACCCCCTTTTGTGTTTTTTTGTTAGAGCAAGCTTTGTGGTCCGGGCCAATTCTAAAGCAACTAACGAGCAGAAGTGTCACAGTCTTCTGGAAGTTATTACAGTGATAAAAGAGAAGTTCAGTTTGTGGAGCTAAATCTGTCTCCTCTCCCCCTCTTCCGTCCCCAGAGATGACGCTCCTGTCCTCCCAACCCAAACCGCTCGACCCAACACCGGGCTCGGACTCGGCCCCCGCTGCCGACGCAGGCACCGAGGATCCCGAGCTGAGGATGTTGGAGAAGAGGTCAAAGGTCATCGAGGAGCTGCTGCAGACCGAGAAAGACTACATCAAAGACCTGCAGATGTGTGTCGAGGAGATCGTCGAGCCGCTGCAGAAGAAGCAGGTAGAAAGATGTGGACATTTTGGAGATGGGGGGGCTGAAAACACTCCTAGTCTGAGGGGTTGTTTTTAAAAAGGGCTAAAAATCACATTGGTTGGTGTCACTTTCATGACTGCACACAACGTAAATGTTTTGACACATTTCTTATTTCCTGTGTTTGGATCGATGGGGTTCTGTTGATCTGAGCTGCCTGTAAAATATTATTAGATATTAGATATTACAGAGACAAAAAAGGGCAAAGAGCAACAGAAAATGTTATGTAACAGCATATTCAGGATAAAATATCATCATGAAGCATACTTTAGAGAGTTTTTTTGCCTCTCTGTATACATAAATCTACTTTACTCTGTCTTACTGCCCTCTGCTGAATTTACTGTGCCTTTTCATCTTATATTTAATAGAAATAAAATATATTTTAAATTAAGGCTATTGAAACAAAAACCTAAGCAGGATGCTCAAAGTATGATTTTTTTTCTTTAAAAAAACTTTTATCACGTGTTTGAAACTTTCTGTGTGCATTTCCTGGAAGGTAAAGAATGTGGACTTTGATGGGCTCTTTGGGAACCTCGGCTCAGTGATCGACTTGTCACAACGCCTCTTAGAGACGCTGCAGGACACAGACTCTATTGGTAAGAAGCAAGTTTAAAAACAAATGCATATCCTCTGTTGTAATTCTGTTAGAGGGTGTTTCCCTGGGCTCTTCACTTAATCCACATTTCAACCATAATCTGTCACCTGATCACAGTCAATTGGTTCACCAAGACTTTGGCTGTAATATTTAATTGTTGAAGGAAGTTAAAAAATAACAAATAATCACAGATTTCTTTAACATCCTCTTCTCTGTTTGAGGGTCACAGGTTAAAAGCATCTTCTTCTGTTCCCCCCCTTTTGAATTACACATGACCTTATGTTTCTCCACCTTCTGGTCTCAGGAAATATATTTCTGGAGTTCAAAGCTGAGCTGGAAGAGGTGTACAAGACCTACTGCCAGAACCACGACGATGCCATATCTCTGCTCGAGAGTTACGAGAAGGACAAGACCATCCAGTGCCACGTGTTGGAGTGTCTGGAGAGACTGAGGTGAGTCGCCGGGAGGAGGAAGTTACGGCTGAAGTCCCTCTCTAGTTTCAGATTACAGATTAGATCCTGTTTGTTTCGCTTCAGAAATATTGTTGTATGTGTGTACAAGTACAAGAAAGCACCAGCTGCCACTAATGGAAATGATCAATGTGGAACATCAACCATAAAAGGCTATTGATCATTTGTTTGTGGAGCTCAATAAATTGTTACAGAACCATGATTTATTGGCAAGTTTTAATAGAAAAGGGCAGTCGTTACTCATAGTCCATTCCTGGTATGTCACCCAACATGAACGCCGTTAGATCAAGCCGCTCGGAAAAATGCGCCTCACCTGGTTTCACTTGTCTGGTTTCACCATCAGTGACGCAAACAATCGAGCTTGTCGTAAATAGTCAGCATAGTCAGTCTGTGTTTAGAGATAAACTCCGGTTTTAGTAGAAGCTTTAGAGGAAAAAAAGGGTGCCGGTTTCAAGAGGGAGTCTTATTGAATATAAGGAAAACCAGTGTGCACAGCTGTGTGTGCTGTCAACCCTTTGTTTGAATAACGCATTTATTGTAAAATAAGTTCCACGTCTTTTTGTTTGTTAACCATAATATTGCTATCAGTGTGTTATATTTTCTAAAGTGTGTGGGTATGTTGAGCTGTGAAAAGGTCATAGTTTCTGCCCTACCTGTTATTGCCACACTGGGCTTCTGTCCAGCTTCAAGAGAAAATTCACAACAGAACCATAACAACCGTGGGTGTGGCCGGCTTCTCTTTTTTATTGACTTTGCAAAGTCCAACCTAACTTTTGTGGATTCAGTCAAAGTATTGAACACATCTTCCTGAAATCCTGGTCATCGGTTTATAAATCCTGTTTTTGTCATCTTTCCAATCTTTCCTCCAACAGGGCCATTTATCGCGAGTGGTAAGTCTCTAATATGAGTGTCATCATGATTCCCAGCATGAGAATCGCATGCCCTTTGCTCACTAACTCCCCTGGAAATGACGTGTGTGTGTGTGTGTGTGTGTGTGTGTGTGTGTGTGTGTGTGTGTGTGTGTGTGTGTGTGTGACCTGAGTGTGGGACATTCTAAAAACATCTGTGCTGCCATTTCAATTCTCTCTGCTTGACTGAACTGAACTGTGTTTGCATGCGCTTGGGAATTCTGCATACTGTTTATGTGAAGAGAAATATGCATCCTGAGAAACATCTAATGCCATCTACTGGATAAAAACAGCAACAGCAGTTTACATGAAGTGATCTTTTTTTAAAGATGAGAACGTTGTAATATTCAAATATGAAGATTATCTTTATAGAGAATCCACCTCCAAGGCCGTAAACAATGTAAAAATATGTTAATCTTAAATTGGTTGCCATAAATCAAACACCAATTTGTTCTTTGCCAATAGCAAGACATTGTCTTTAAATGCTGAGAAAAGATCACATCATCCAATTGGATTGGTTGCTAAATTAATTTGTCCTCAAGATCGCATTAAAGCAAATCAATATGTTCCTTCATGTCTCTCAAAAACTCTACTGATCATCATCAGAATATGTGAATATATGATGATGGTTACGCATCATTGGATCATGCAATCCACATGATGTAGAGAAATGTGTTACGGGAACGCAAATCAGTAGCTGTGACTGTGATAGTGGCTGTAAATGAGTCTGTCTCAGTTTTCAGTATTGCGATGTTTCTCTACAAACCAACTCCCTCCTCTGTCTCTTCTTCAGGGGAAAAACAAATTACATCAACCTCGGCTCTTTCTTAATCAAGCCGGTGCAGCGGGTGATGCGTTACCCGCTGCTGCTGATGGAGCTGCTGGGGGCCACGCCGCAGAGCCACCACGACCGGCCCCAGCTGACTAAAGCTCTGCTGGCCATCAAAGAGATCAACGTAAACATCAACGAGTTCAAGCGCAGGAAGGACCTCGGTAAAAAAAAAAAATCCCTTTTTGAAGGCTGCTGTGTATTTGGAGAAGCGTTTTATCCAGGACAGAGTCTGAACTGTTTTCGCTCCGCTGCCCACAGTGGTGAAGTACAGGAAAGGCGACGAGGACACGTTTATCGACAAGATCTCCAAGCTGAGCATGCACTCCATCATCAAAAAATCCAACCGCGTCAGCAGCCACCTCAAACACCTCACAGGAATCTCCCCACAGGTACATCGCTGCTCATTTTGCGAGTGGCATCGTGAATGTGGTGCACGAAAGCGTCTGTCCTGATCTTCTGACCTGCGTCGCTTCCACAGATCAAAGATGAAGCGTTCGATGAGGCTGAGAAGAGGTTCCGGCTGCAGGAGAGACTCATCAAGTCTTTTATCAGGGACATATCCCTGTACCTGCAACATATAAGGGTAGGAGCATTTTAGCATCTTTGTTATTTATACCATATGAGAAGTAGATGAACATATATAATGTGCTTCATTCATGCCGTTTTATTGCATGTAAAATCAACAGAAGGTCTTATGTTTGTTAACATAATGATCGTCATCAACACCTGTGCAGAACCGTGTTTGTCATGGGTCAAATGTCCGGTGTCTGTAAAAAATACTTTAATAATTCTTAATTTATTCTGACATAACTCTGTACTCAGGATTACGTTCATACATTTTTAATTGCAGGACGTAAAGATTTTAAATTATTAGCGCATTCAACATATATTCAGTGTAAATCTAATTATTTTGACTTGGACTTTTTCAACGTGGATTGTAATACAACGAATCTCTCCAGGAATCGGCGTCCGTAAAGGTCTTGGCGGCCATCAGCTTCTGTGACATCTACGCTGAGCGGAGCGTCCCCGGCCCCGAGGGCTTCCAGAGAGCTCACCGCTCCATCAGCGACGAACAGTTCGCACAGTTTGTGAGTGTTCTCCCTTTATTTACCCCCCTTTGGGGCCCCCCCCCCCCCCCGGGAAAGCCCTCCGATCAAATGCCGTTATCTTGTTCCCCCCGAGCAGAAGGAGCGCACGGAGGCCTTGGTCATCGAGCCGCTCAACCAGCTCCTCCTCATGTTCGCCGGGCCGCACAAGCTCATCCAGAAGCGCTTCGACAAGCTGCTGGACTACGACAACTGCAAGGAGCGCGCCGACCGACTCAAGGACCGCCGCGTGCAGGACGAGCTGCAGGCGGCGCGCAACAACTACGAGGCGCTCAACGCCCAACTTCTGGACGAGCTCCCCAAGTTCCACGGCGCCGCAGAGGACCTGTTCACCGGCTGCGTGAGGGCTTTCGCTCAATCCCAGAAGGACTTCATGAAGAGGACACTGGGGGAGCTGACGCCCCTCGTGAACGCCGTGAGGAACTTTGTTTTTAAGGGTTTTGAAGGGAGTGGGACATTTTCTCATGCACGCGTTGGTCGGATTAGGAAACCTGTTTTTAAATACTTTCCCTTTCGTCTCCAGTTTTCGAACAAAGCCAGCACAGAGGGCAACCTGATCTCCAAGTTCCAAGAGGAGTACGGTCGAGTTCTCCAACTTCTGCAGAGCTTCAGCTTCTGCCCGGAGAACCTCCCTCCAGCCACCTCCACGAAAAAGACCTCTGAGAGGAAGACGCTCGAGAGGCCGACGTCTAGGAAGCTGCAGGCACCTGTAAGTTTCATTCCATTCGATACCGCGTGAATATAATGCATAGTGCGTGACCACGAAAGATCGGGATCTAAACGATAGGCCTGTCCTTGTCGCTTCCAGCCCAACCACGTCATGCAGACGGATGAGCACCGCGCAGGACTTCTGGTACGCTACACTCCCGAGAAACTCTTCCAGGCTGAGAGGAACTTCAATGCAGCGCAGGATCTGGACATGTCCTTACTAGAAGGAGACCTTGTGGGGGTCATCAAGCAGCAGGACCCCATGGGTAGCTACAACCGCTGGCTGATTGATAACGGAGGTGGGTCTTTTTGTTCTAATCAGCCGCATATTGTAACGTTTGACATATTGTTAATCCGCCTGCTTTTTTTTTTTTTCGTTTTTTCAGCCCGACAGGGTTTTGTGTACAGCTCCTTCCTCAAACCCTACAACCCACGCAGGAGCCAATCGGACGTCTCCATCGGGAGCCATTCGTCTAACGAGTCGGGCTACGGCGGCTCCTCGCCCGTTTTCTCCCGCCAAAACAGCAACAGCACACTGACTTTTAACCAGGACACGGCCACCGTCAGCTTTTCCACCTCGCAGCCCCAGACTCATCCATCGCCGCAGCCTTCGCTGGACTCCGCCTCCTCTCGTAGGAGCCACCTCGACTCTGCCAGTCAGAGCAACTCCATCAGCTCCTCCCCGAGAAATCCCTCAAACCGCAAGGACTACTCAAGCCAAACGCACCGGAATTCCTCCGGACAGAGAGACGCCGAGCCGCCCCACCGGCATTCGGCGAATCACAGAGGCACGTCCGACGGGAGTTATCCGGGCCACAAGGAGACGTCGGACCTCTCGGAGACGGACTCTTACTCTTCGCTCGGAAACAGCAGCTCGCAGCAGTACGGACACACGGACAAAACGTACAGTTCGAGCCAGTGGAGAAATGGAGATAGAAGCGGCCAGAAGAAAGCTTCTTACCACAGAGATGAGTACATCGAGCCGGAGCCCGAGCCGGAACCTGAGCCGGAGCCAGAGCCGGAACCGGAGCCGGAAGAAGAGAGTGAATTTGATAGCCATCAGGTAAACTTTAGTGTGACTTTAATCAAACATTTACCATACCAAAAGAAGTGCACACAGCTTTAAAGATAACAGTAAATATTACGGTAAACTTTAAATATTCTGATGAGTGAGTATGTCAGGGCCAATCCTTGATACTACCACCAATATTAGTTATTAATGCCCTTAAAAATAGAAAAGATAACACAAATTAACGATGACACGGTTTTTGTTCATTTGTTTGTAGTTTTTCTACGCTCTCTACTCCTTCGACGCCCGCTGTGCCAATGAACTGAGCATCTCGGCCAACCAGCGGCTGCGGATACTGGAGTTCAAGGACATGAACGGCAACAGCGAATGGTGGCTGGGCGAGGCGGCAGGCCGGCGGGGCTACGTGCCCTCCAACTACATCCGCAAATCCGAATACACATGAACGAGGCTTCATCCCGAGACTCCGCTTGGACCTGAAGAAGTCTCACTGTGCGAGCAGAGAGACAAACAAGCATCCGTGACTCATTTTTGATCTGTGGTCATGGAGTTTGATAGTGAGACGCACGGACTATTGCTGCTGACTGAAGTTAGCAATATATGCCTATATTTATAGTCTTTTTATATTGTTTTTACTTTCTGGATACTGCACCCAACTCCCTCTTGTTTCTGGGGGAAAACCTGTGAATTATTTCCAGATTATTTTCCATATTGTCTGGTGCTGCAGACAGTGAATTGTATGTTTTACAGAACAATATTAAAGGTTACAGCATTGGGAGATTGCAATGAAAATGTGAATGCTTTGGTTTCAGACTTATTCTCAATAACCGCCAAGTGGTTTGTAGACGGACTGAGCTTAACGCTGTGTTTTTCTGCATGTGGTTCATAACACCACTAGAATGATGGATGGTTGTTAGATTACTTCATACCATGCAATTCAACAATCATGGTTGGAGGCACTGATGATGATTATCCAGGGGTTGCATGTTTTGAAGTGTCTGTTCTGAATATAGACTGTATAATCAAATGCTAGGGCAGAGTTGAATGGAATATGCTGAATGCATTACTAGCACTCCAATTGTCAATAACCCGAATCCATTTTATCCGGTTGGCACTGTGCGAACAGGCGATGACCCAGTTTACCCGCAAGAGGAGCGTAACAAAGGGAGGGACTCTAATCCGATCTCTGGCCTCCACATTCTCCTTATGTACATTATATATAGTTTATAGAGAATATGCTTTTGCACCCACTGTAAAGTGATCACTGAATAAAAAACAGCTCAGCTGACGAATCAAAAAGTCTGACTAAATGTGTTTTTTCTGTGTCGTTCCTGCGTCCAGTTTTAAGCTTATTAACGATTGGTGACAATAATGTATGCTGCCATCAGTTGACAAAGAGACGTTTAAAATCAGTTATTTTATCATGCAATTATAATGAGCATATAATGCTTACAGGGCTCAAATGTGACGAATTGCATACCTGTGCAAGTTATTAAACAAATACTGATTGCTCGGCAGTTAGCAAAAATACATATTAAAACACTATTAACTGCTAGATGTTCAAACCCCAATACGGTCCACATTGCAATACCGAGTAATGGTATTTTACATATTGTGTGCAAAAATTGTAAATTGTAGACCAGCAAGTACAAACTAATCGAAGAAATAAACGAACTTTACACAGTACATTTTAAAAATTCAGACTGTGAAAAGGGTGCAGTCTGGAATCAGCCTCTTGTTATATTGTTTTATAATGTTCTTGCTGCTGTTGGTGACGTCAACAGGAAAAGGTCAAAGGGCAAAATGAGCATTGGGTAACATGGAACTCCTGTAAAATCAATGCAGCGTACCAATGATTAACAGGCGGGTGGAGTGTTTCAGGGTCTCTGTGTTTGTGAGGGATTATTTAGGAGAAAAAGAGCCTACTTTATATGCTCACTGGTTCCATCATGGCCAGGCTCTCCATCAACATCGTTTGCTTCGTAACTTTACTTTTACAACAGGAATCGTATGTAAGTATGCACATAGCAGAGGAAGAAACATTTTTAAAACTGATTTGACTTGATAAGGCATGTAAATATGTTGTTGCAGGTTATCACAGCAGCACATGACATTGATGGTAAAAAAACACTTTGAATTTGACTTTTCAGTAAAACCAAGTCTTTCATGACTGAAATCCCCAAATGCCTCTCTTTCCGACACAGTTTATGAATACTATTACGATTACACCACTGAAAGCCCGGCAGCAGACTGGGATTTGTATGAAGACGACTGGCTGTATGACCTCATGGACGTCACAGGTAAATTACACCTGCTTTGATTGCCTGTATATACTGAACGCCGGCGGTAGTTTAACTTAGATGGATGCAGGCGTAATGAATTGCACTCTGCTTCGAACATGTGGGACTATACGTGAGGTCTTTACATTTGCAAACACTGGTTATGTTTCTGTATTCATTTAGATGAGTGTGATCCGAACCCGTGTTTGAACGGAGGCCGCTGCGACCACGCTGCTGACGGGAGCTTCAGATGTTCGTGCCCGGAGTCGTACTCGGGGAAGAAGTGTCAGAAAGGTAGGCTAGATCAGGTACAAGTGAGCCGTAATCATCAAATTCAATGTGTTGCACCTGAATGCACACGCAATGAATTCTGAGATTTAAAAGTAAAAGCGTGGAGCATAATGTTTTTAAAGATTTTGCTTTTTTCCCCTTGCTTACCATTTGATTCAGGTTCCAAGTTAAAGTTCATTTAAGGGGATTTATATGCCCCCCAATGCAAGTAACAAAAAATGCACAGTGTTAGCAAGACACGTGAGTTTGAATGTCAATTTTGGCTTGATTTTATTTGTTTTTAGGGAAAATACGCACTAATTACCATAGTTGTAAATGTACTAATGTTTGAAGCCAAAAGTCTTATTCTCGATTCGTTGGTCGAAAGTCAAATCTGCATTAAAACAATACAACAAAACGTATATATAAAATCATAACAGGAGAAGGTGAAACATGAATACGACAAAGAATTTAGAGGAGGAAGGCCAGCCTCAAATAAAGTAGGAAAAGCACAATGCAGACAAATAATACAAAACAATGTGAAGCAGAAAATTGTTTTGCCCAATATTAGTAGGCTAATAAACGAAGCAAACAAGAGAAGACTGAGCAGTGGCAGCAGTTCTGCACGTACCTTAAACTTACTTTCTAAACTAAGCCTAATACAATGAATGCACCGTGTTTTCTTCAGTGAAAGACGTTTGCAAGAACGTGAAATGTGGCCATGGAAGCTGTATTTACACATCTACAGCTCCATTCTACGAGTGCAAGTGCAAGCATCCATACAGACCACCCAACTGCACCAAAGGTCTGATTTGATTTAAGGAATATTTGGCATCATGTGATTGATTTGTTTTTTAAACTATATTAGTCCTGTTGTATGGATGCCTTTGCACGCTGGACGTCATACGCTCTTTGACTTGCCTCTGTTCACAGCTTCTCGCTGTAGGCCCAATCCCTGTCAGAATGGAGGCTCTTGCATGAGTCCCAAACGCTCATCCTTCCAATGTTTTTGCCCTGATGGGTATAGTGGAAAGTTCTGCGAAGTTGGTGAATGCAATTCTCTCTCCGTCATAAATAGAAGAAACACAAGTATCCCATGCAAGGGCATGGCTTGATTGGTCTTTTCTCCTAGGACCAAACGACTGCTACCGGGGGGACGGAGAGACTTACCGCGGCACGGTGAGTGTAGCAGTCGACGGGGAAGAGTGTCTGGACTGGAATTCCTATTTCATCCTGCAGAAAGGGAGCAATCCCTTCAAAGAGTATGCAGGCTTTGACGGCATTGGACCACACAATCACTGCAGGTGAGGAGGCGTCTGGTGTAAATATTACACACATGCTTACTGTCCACATGTTTGTCTAACTGACAAACTGGTTGTCTAAGCAGTGTGTTTAGTGATGGACTGTGAAGCTTCTTTTAATCTTAGAGAATAAACTTCACTCATGAATCTGATGCAATAAAGCTTTTTAAAAAGCTTCTTCTGTATTGAAGGAACCCTGATGGAGATGATCAGCCCTGGTGCTACATTAATAGGAACGGCAGACTGAAGTGGGACTATTGTAAAGTCAGGGAATGTTCCCAAGGTAAAACACACACACGCACACACACACACACACACACACACACACACAGAAAGATCATGGTCTCAAAACATCTCATTCTGACATCCTCCTTCCCAGCTCCAGCCACTCCACCGACCCCCCACGAAACAGGCCCTCCGGCCGAGCCCGAGGTCCCTGCGGGTCAGTTCTCCGCGTGTGGCAGGCCGCAGCCCGGACGCACGGCCAGGATCTTTGGGGGGAGGAAGTCTCAACCCGGGGCTCATCCGTGGCAGGTTTCACTACAGACCAGACCAGAAGGCTCTGTGGAGTCCTTCGACCACGTGTGTGGAGGCATCCTCATCGGGACCTGCCGGGTACTGACTGCTGCACACTGCATGTAAGCGCCAGTGTGGATTCACTGCAGCAAAACAGTTTCAGATCAAGTGAGAACATCGATCAACACACACCTGAGCTTTTTTTTTTTTTACTCTTTTGTTTGACCAGTAAAAGCGGAGTGGAAATGCAGGTGGTGCTGGGAGGAGTAGACCTGGAGAAGGATGAAATATACGATCAGGTGATCCCTGTGGAGAAGGCCGTCGTGCATGAGGACTACAGGGAGACCCCCTTCGTTCTTTACAATGATATTGGTGTGGAGCAAAAATTGTTGCACAGAAAAATTGTATTAATGATTTTCGGCCACACAACAATGAGAGTTAAACGTATTTGTACACTGCTCATGCACCGTTCTTTGCTCTGCGCTTCTCCTGTGCAGCCATGCTTCAGCTGAAAGTAACGAACACACCGTACTGTGCCAACGAGACCCGATTTGTAAAGACAGCCTGCCTCCCAAAGCAGCCCTTCGCCAGCGGGACGGAGTGCGTGATCTCAGGGTGGGGAGCGACTGAAACACGTAAGTATCCTTTTTATTGGCACCTTCTATTGCAGACTGCATAACAAACTGTCGTAGAATGTCATAACATAATGATCAGTTTGAGTTAATGGGATTAGCTTTTGCAAATTGATAGTTGATATGTAGTCAAGGAGGAGTTAAGCTATATTTTATTTGTATATAAACATTTTTTTTAAATTTAAACCAATAAAATAAAAATGTTTTAAACTCATGGGTATTCATCTGATTCACCTCGGCGCCTATTTCATGCATTTACATGGGAAAACAGGGTAACGTATTTCTATTTCAAGTGCTTTAGTACTAAAACTTCATTGATGGAGCTCGGTTTCACAAAATAAAAACAAAAGAGAAACACAGTATTATTGTAACGAGAAAAAATATATATTTATATGAAGTATATGCTTCATGTAGCCCTTAATATATGTTGCATCAGATTTAGTTTGGATTACTCAAGTTAATATCTGACGTCAGGAAAAAGTAAAATATAAATTTTAAAATGCCACCATGCAGCCAGAACCTGAACTATTTAACAGCATTCATGAAATATAAAATCGGGTTGCAAACAATATGGAAAAACCATTGAAGCCTCGCCCTGTGGCATGAAAGTAGATTCTTCGTTAAACTCCATCTCTTCAGGCTTTACTGAGCGTTTGAACATTGTGTTTCTCTCTCTGTCTCGTCTCAGAGAAGTACGGAACCAACCAGCTGCTGGATGCTCGTGTTCTCCTGATCTCGCAGGAGAAATGTAAAGCCCCCCATGTCTACGGAACGTCTTTAGACGACAGCATGTTCTGCGCAGGCACCTTACAAGGAGGCGTCGACTCCTGCCAGGTGTGTGAGATGGGAATTCTTATTCATCCCTGTGATATATGCCGGCAGCTGTATTCATGAGAGTAAAGAGAAAGAGGTGACGCCTCCTCTCTGCCCCTTGCAGGGGGACTCCGGTGGCCCCCTGGTGTGCGAGCGTAATGGGACCCACTATGTCGTCGGCGTTGTGAGCTGGGGAGACGGCTGCGGCAAGAAGTACAAGCCGGGCGTCTACGCCAACGTGGGCAGATTCGTCGACTGGATCGCTCGTCGTTTACTCTCGTAGGGATACGACGAGAATGGTTTCCACCAATACCGGCGGTTGTAGTCACGAACGCCAGAGTGGATGCTGGTGACAAGGCAGCATTGTTTATGTTTTGTGAATGTGAAAGATCTGCATGCAGGGGCTGTTGATACATTCACACGGCTGCCTGCAGATATTTGTGTTAAGTCATCATTTGGATTAAAGAAAGGAAACGTGATTCAAAAGATAATGTTGTAGAAATCCCTTTTTTGAAATCAGATTTGAATTACACGTATGTGGGTGTATTATTCCTTTCCTTAGGTATATGTGAGGTGACAGTGGAAATGTGTTGAAATGTGACGACTTTTCCTTGGAATATTTTGTTTATTTTGTGAAGAAAAAACTGACTAAAGTTCATTTGGCTTTAAAAAGTTTATTTACTCAGCATTAAAACCAAGTGTTTACTCCCAGCACAGCTTTGAGTTAAAAAGGGGAGTTGATACAACCTCAAAAAGCTGAACCTGCCAGACAAAATGTAGATCACACATCACTTCAGGCCTTTACTTCTCTCACTGAGCCTGGCTCAAAGTGCACGAGCTAAGTCGACCTTCTGACAAACTGCATTGTTTTGCTTGGCTAAGACAAGGTTTGTGCCTTAGTCATCTCTAAAGATAAAAAAAGATGAAAAAAACTCGGAGGTACAACTATCTTCTAAACCCAGAATTCAAACTTTCCTATTTCACACAGTTTCACTTTTCACCCGAAACAACCCTCATCACGTTTGGTATTTTTGATCTTTTCCTTTGTGTTGAACGTGGCTCTTTGGAGGCAATTTAACCCCTTCAAGCTTTGATAAAATATCAAAAAATACATTTCTTCCCTTCCCTTCGCACATACTTTTACAATGCTTTTAACTAACTTGACAAGTCCTGACCTGATTTAACCTACATAATACCCTTAGAAATCACCGTGTCTTCCTTTTACGGTTCATTACTGCTCCTTCAGTAGCTCCGTTAGACATCGATGTGTCATGCAACTGCAAGACAAAACAGACATTTACTCAAAGTAGATACCAGAAATACTGGTGCTGGTCATCTCTAAACAATATCATCCACAAAAACTGATCTGATCTAAGCTTCTTTTATCGCAGCAGCGTTACTAGACGTGGTGGTTTTCACGGTGTTCTGGATGGCGGCCGATGAGGAGGTGGTGCTGGATTTCTTCTCCATGGATTTATACGAGGAAGATGTGGTGGTGGTGGACTTTTTCTGGACTGTCTGGATGGTCTTTTTCCTCTTGACGTGAAGGACCTCCATGGCGTCCATGTTGACGGCTTGTTTAGTCTCCTCGCTGGTCTCCACCTGCTGTGAATTCTGTTGCTGCTGCTCCACCTGCTGCTGGTGATGCATCTAAATTAGGGATGTGGGGGAAAGTTCATTTATTTTTAAAAGGACCCGCCCACTTCAATCCACGCGGCTAAATTCCACGTTCGCTCACCATCATCATGTGCTGATAATTTGCAATCGCCTGGTCAGTGGTGACTCCCTCGGCCAGCCCCAGCTCTGCAGCCCGGCGGGCCAGTTCCACCTTGTGGGAGCCAGGAGGGGTCCAGCCCACTCCTCTGGTGGAGTTCAGGTCTGACTTGTAGTTCACCTGCAGCAAAAGGGAGCAGCAATTATACGTTGATTGCCACAATTTAAACGCCAAAGACAAAATGAGGCATCGGTTCTCCCGAATCCCGTGCATGGACGGTGACTTACATCACTCTGCAGCTTGTAGGCCTGCTTGGCGTGCTTGACGTTGAGCTGCTCGGAGTCACAGGTGTAGTCGTGCAGCCTGCTGCGGTAGGTGAGGTCACTCGCCTGAGCTTGACTCTTCTTGGCCTGCAGGAACTCGGGCTGGTCAGCGTGCATCTTGTAGTGGCCCCGGTCCTCCTTGGACTGCCGCTTGTACTCCAGGTTGCTCTGGAGCTTGCTGGCTGCCAGGGAGTGCACCATCTTCGGGTCGTCCTCCACACAGCGCAGCCCCACCTGCTGCCCCTTCTCCTTCAGGTGAGACTCCCTGTAGCGTAACTGTGGGAGGCATGCAAATAAAGTTTTCAATTTGAAGATCTATCTTTTACAGCTTCATTTAAGTTAGAGACAAACTTTCCAACCTCTGAAAAAGGAAACCCGGTACAAGGTTAACTGTGTTTTCACCACATTATAATGCACTTTTTTTATAAATAACAAAAATTTGCACTGACAGTCAGAGCGGCTAATGAATCCTAATTTGTGCTTCGAGAAAATTGAAGGTACTCAAATAATTTCACTAACTTAACTATCACATGAACTCACGTCACTGGCAATTTCCCTGGAGGCCTTGGCCGTTTGGAAGGGAATAGCATCCAGCCGCAGGTCATGTCCCGAGGTCTTCACCTGCTCTCCGGACGCCTTGTAAACTTTCTTCATGGGAGAGGAATTTTGAAGAGCGCAATGTCACACAGACACAATGGAATCTTCTGATGCTGATTGAAAATCATTCAGGATTGTGAAAATCTATGCAAAGCATGGCTTACGTCACTGATCTGCAGGGCATTCATCCTGGCTCTCACAAAGTCTGGATCATCGGAGTGTAAAGTGTACTTGTGCATGTCATCATTCTTTCCGGATTTGTACAGCCTCTGTGGTGCAAAAACAAGCCAGTGATAAACATTCATCACACAACGTGAACCGTCTTTGTGTTTAGGAGTTCAACGCACCTCACTGCACTGTTGGTAGCTCGTCTTAGCGTGGACAATATCCGGAGAGTCGGTCACTGAGGTGAACTTTAGGCTGTCTGGCAGCTGACGATACTTCTTCTGCATGAAAAAGGACCAGACACACACACACACACACTTTAACAGATTGCTGAGACTTAAATTGTCTCAATTTCGGCAGTCTGAGTCAGATATTATTCATGGCAAACGAAGGCTTGAGACAGCACTTAATGTTTGTGTGAGAAAATCAAACGTCCAACTGAACCCAACGGTATTCCTGTCTGATCATAACATCAGGAAGTGTGTTGGCTGTATTTTGTGCATCCCACTCACATCACTTAGAAGACGTCCGGCCTTCTTAGCCGACTCCATCTGCGGTGCCCCCACACCGTCCCAGGCCACTCCTTTCATGTAATTCAGGTCGGACTTGTAGAGTTTCTGGACGACGGGCGATAAAATGTGTCAGTCGAGTTGAATAACACCAGTCGTTTCCCCCCCCCCGTCCACAACTCCCACCTCGCTCTGCTGGTCGTACGCCGTTTTGGCCCACTTGACCTTCATGTCGTCGGGCAGCACCGTGTACTCGTGCAGTCTCTTCCTGTAGTCCTGCTCGCTGGCGAGCGCCTGTGCGTTCTTGGCCGTCACCAGGTGAATCATGTCCTGCGTGAGGTGGAACTGCCCGCTGGTGGTCAGCGCGTCCTTGCGGTACTCCTGGTTGCTGGCCAGCCGGCCCGCCTGCTGGCAGTGCAGGAGACCCGGGTCGTCCAGGACGCTTTTGATCCCGATGTGCTTGCCTTTTTCCAGCAGGTGGTCGTGTTTGTACTTGTTCTGCAGTCACACGCGGGTAATCGCTGTAGTTTACTGCGACTTATTGTTGATAAATGCTACTTTTTTGAAGCGTATTCTGCACATTTTAAAATAGGTTGTTGATACAATTCTAGGATGTACATGTGCTGCTTTATTACAGGTATTTCATATATGTCTTGCAGTTCAGGTGGATATGTTTGACACATTTCACGACGACTGCTCTTACATCACTGGCGATGCCTGTGGAGCTCTTGGCGGCTTGGAAGGGGATGTCCTGCATGGTGAGTTTGTAGCCTTGAGCCCTCAGAGTGTGCCAGGACTCTTTGTATTTGAGCTAGAGCGGAATGACAAAACAAACCGACGATCATTCACCTCTAAATCAGCCGACACTGGGATGGAAATGTCCACAGAATACCGTGTGGTACCTCGCTGAAGTTGGCCGCATTGATCTTTGCTTGCATCATCTCCGGCCTCTCGGTTGTCGTAGTGTAGTTATGCCGGTCGTTCACCCCTTTCTCTTTGTACAAACGCTGCGAGAGAAGCGCAAAACGAATGAGTTGGTTGTGAGAAAAAAAACAGGAAACACCAGAGCTAAAGCTGCGAGCTCAACGTCCCACCTCGTTTGTGATTTGTCCACTGAGTTTGGCGTGGACGATATCAGGAGAGTCCGCTACAGACGTGTGCTTGAAGGTGTACGGCTGCTGGCGGTAGTTTTTCTGTAACAGAAACAGAACAACAAAAAAAGTGAGGGTTTGTAACAAGGAAGTCCACATTTCATACTTTTTTTGAAAAGGAGACAGAGACACAATAAAAAGGAAGATATCCCACATCACTAATGAGGTCCGTGGCCCTCTTGGAGCCTTCAAACTGCAGAGCCCCGGTGCCGATCCAGGCTGCGCCACGCAGGTAGTTCAGGTCAGAGCGATACACTTTCTGCAAACAAACACACACACACACACACACACACACACACACACACACACACACATGTTGCTCAAGTACCTAGTTATCGCTGCTATAATATTTCAGCAATAAACAAGGCAAAGGCCCGGGACGTTATTCAAATACGGTAAGGTATTATAAGGCTAAAAGTCAATGACTTATTTTTCCCGCGTGCTACCACACGTAGAGTAAGCGTACAAATAAAAATAGATGTTGCATCTCACCTCGCTCTGCAGGGCGTACGCCTTCTTGGCCGCCTGCGCCTTCATGTCGTCGGGCAGCGTGGTGTAGTGGTGCAGGGTGGGCCTGTAGTCCTGATCACTGACTAGCGACTGGGCCATTTTAGCGTGGGACACCTCCAGCATGTCCATGGGCAGGTGGAACTTTGAGAGCTCCTTTGAGTCCTGCCTGTACTTAAGCTGGAGAGGTGAAAAGGGAACAAAGAAGAGACGTGTTTGTATCATAATATATGCTGGGGGGGGGGGGTTCTGAGTTACTCTTAAAAAGAGCCTACATCACTCTGTAGCTTGCTGGCATTGACCGAGTGAGCGATGTTGATGTCATCCTGCAGTCTCTTCAGTCCGATCGTCTTCCCTTTCGTCTTCTCAAATTCTTCTTTGTACTTTTGCTAAAATGACAAGCGATTCACTCGTTACGTCCAGTGAGACGAGTTAATAGAGCCGCTGTGTGAAATGTACAATCCGCAAGCGTTTTCAATTGTCAACTAATCGAAACTGAAATGGAAAAACATGCATCAGCGATCT